GAGAGAGAGAGAGAGAGAGAGAGAGAGAGAGAGAGAGAGAGAGAGAGAGAGAGAGAGAGTTTCTATCTGTCGTCGCCACGGGACAGTCATGTTGTTTCTTTCGAAGTATAGGGGAACAAAAAATGACATTCGTCTCTTTCTTTCAGTTATTTGTTGAGAAATATCATGTCAAATGTGGCCAAACTTATGAAGCGGTGAAAACCACATGCGAGACGAAAATGTCCCAAAAAGTTCACTACTGCGTGACATTTACGTGGTCAAAAGTGACATCGTTTAAGTTTTGGCATGCAGTAGCCAACCTCTCTCTCTCTCTCTCTCTCTCTCTCTCTCTCTCTCTCTCTCTCTCTCTTTCTCTCTCTCTCTCTCTCTCTCTCTCTCTCTCTCGCTCTCTCTCTCCGAAGTATCCTATAAAAATGATTTCAAGTTGTTAAAAAACTTAACAAATCCTCTGTGTCATTCCATTTTGACCGACACGTGTGAACAGGAACAGAAACTTACGACGTCGCGCAGCGTTCGGGAAGCAGCGACACGGAACACTGAATAACAAGGTGCAGGTAATAGAAGCAGAGTGAGGATGACAGAGTCACAGAAAAGTAACACGTGTGGTGGTGGCGCGAAGTGGTCATATGTGGGTACAGAACCGGTCACCGGTCCAAGAAGAGAGAGAGAGAGAGAGAGGTGGTAAGCGAACCGTTGCTGCAAAAAGGTGACAGAAAATGTTGAGGGACCCTTGGTACGCGGAAATGTACGATATATTGACAGAGGGTGAAGCAAAGTCTCCCCAGTTGATAATCGAAGAGTCATCCAGCATTAAGGGAAAAGTGAAAGTTGAAGACATGACCGTTGGCTTGACCGTTGAGGTCGTCAAAGGACGATGCGAGGAAAATTCACTACTGCGGGCATTTGTTACATAAAGACTGGTGGGTTGACAAGTTGATTGGCCCGCAGTAGCCAACTTGCTCGCGATGATGGCCGGGGACATCTTTCAAGTTTTTCTTTGTTCTTTTTTTTTTTATTGTAACTATGTGAACCCGTGCTGCCTGAGAATACACATACAGTCATTCAGACGCACAAAGAGGTTGGTAACTTAAATGACGTCGCAATATCAACAATAAGATCTTGGTTGTGCCCCCCTCTCTCTCTCTCTCTCTCTCTCTCTCTCTCTCTCTCTCTCTCTCTCTCTCTCTCTCAATGCGGCCATTACACTTCAGGGGTGTATGGATCGACGCACGACATTGCTGACGCAGTTGTTGTTCGTATTCCACTTTGATATATGTGGGGAAAAAAAAGGTCATGGCTCCAAGGCCAAAATACGAGGATCTGTGTAGGTCTTTGAAGGCCGTGGGAAAGAAGGACAAGGGGAGGAAGAAATGCAAGGCTGATAAGAAAAAAAAAAGGAGAGAGCATCGCAGAAGCGGATCCCAGAATGCAAAAATGGAGTGGACGAGCAGCCGCAGAAACGGATCAAAAGTTTCTCTCCCATCAAGTCAGAGGGAGATTTCAAAGCTGAAAGAACGCAATGAGTCACCCCCTGCGACTTCAAAGTTGAAAGAATGCAATGAGTCACCCCCTGCGACTCCTGCCCCACGGAACCGTGCCAGCGGCGTCTTGAACCGTCCACCCAAGGCCCCCGAGAAGAGGTCGTGGGAAGACAAAATGTCAAAGGCGCACCACAGGACAAAGAAGAGAATCACGTACAAAAAGGACAGAATGGTGGAGATGATCGATCTGAGAGGCTCGAACGATATGCACAGCGCGGCCCGAGAGGAGGCAGAAAGGAACACGACCAGTCCATATCAGAAAAGTTTGACGGGGAGGAGAACGAGGCAACAAGTGACGAGGGAGGTGATAGTGAAACTTCCGACGGACATTCTCGCGACACTCACGACGCTCATGACGAGGACGGTAGGAGCAGCGACGGCACAGCGCAGGACGAGGGCGGTGACGGGGCAGGCGAAGATGACAGAAGCGCGAACGGAAGAGAGAGTTCCCCATCTCCGGGAAGAACGCAACGCACGAGGGAACCCGAAAGTGGCGGCGAGGGAGGCGCAGCCGACGCGCCCTCGATTGACAGACGACTAGTGAGGCATGACAACGCAGTTCAAAAAGGTTAACAAAATGTGTTGCAATTGTTATTCTTGCACAACGATTACAATAGAAAAAATGTGCCAATTTTTTTGCCACGTTGGACCTATGTTTATACCACATTTCAACTGTTTATAAACTGTTGGCTGGGGGGGGGGGTGTATGTTCAACACAAAATGAAGGAAACCAACACT